ACTCCTGCGTGGGAGAAGAAACAAGGTTTCTTCTCCCCAGCCGACTCGCTAGGTATTTTCCAACGACTCCTGCGAGACGAAAAAAAAAATATCAAAAAAATTAAAGATCAAATTTGGGAGGCTGACTCCCGCCCTTTAGGCGGACAACTCCCAATTTTTTTAATGAAAAAAAATAAAAAATATTTGGCTAAATTGGTACGACGACTCCCGCCCTTTAGGCGGGCGACTCCCATTTTTTTAATAAAAAAAATTAAAAAACTGCCATTGAAATTAGGACGACAACTTACCTTTTTTTTGGGGGAATTGGAAGAACGACTCCCGTTTGACGACCTCCCGACCAAAACGGGAGTCGTCGACTAATTTTTAGGAGTCGTTTTTCCAAGCCCCTATTTGTTTACCTTTGTTAGTCTTCTTGGTTTGATTTTTGTTAGAACCTCGAGGTTTTTCTCCTTTTTTACCTTTGACAGCATCTACCAGTTTATCAATATTACATGTCAGTTTCAAACCACTTGATTTGGATAATCTGAATATCCTTATGAGATGATGCGCACTAAGAAGAGATATCTTTTTACCTTTGTTAGTGTTCTTGGTTTGATTTTTGTTGGATTCTCGAGGTTCTTCTCCTTTTTTACCTTTGACAGCATCTACCAACGTATCAATATTACATGTCAGTTTCAAACCACTTGATTAGGATAATCTGAATATTTGTTTTACCCTTACCAGTCTTTTCAGGTTTGACTTGTTCATATAAAGCAACATGACCATGATCAATTAACGTGAACTGTTTGAGAATGATATCTTCGACGGCTTTGAAGTCATCAGGGGTTGGGTGTGCTTCCTGATAGGCTTTGTGACTGGAATTCACAGGTTTTTAAATCGGATAGAGTTTAATGGGATCCTTCTCACGGAACATGAGCTTCATGTCAGGGTCATTCCTGGTTGTGAATGAGGCTGATCGTGTGATCTGTTCCTGTTTTTTTTCTCTGGTTGTACTTTTGTTTTTTTCTCTTCTTAACAAATTCCTGCCCGCTATTCAATACCACCCATTCAAATTATAATCAATAGATTGATATCCCAGAAGAGAGACATACGAATCAAGACATATGATTGATATCCCAGAACAGAGACATACGAATCAAGTGATTGATATCCCTGAAGAGAGACATACAAATCAAGATATATGATAAAAGAATGGATTGGAATAATGGCAGGAATTGTGATGTTAAGAGGGGTTAAATTAAGGCCGGATGCAGAGGATGGAAAGGGGATAGGGTAAAAACAAAGGGAGGGATATCATTAGTGAATTGTAATAATGGTTCCTAATCTGACACTCTTACGTCATCCTTTTTTCGGGAACTCCACATGAGGACCCCTCGGTTGCTTGTGTGACCCCAGAAGATGCCATTTTGTGTGTACGGAGATGTGGCTCTATCTGAATATGCTTACAGAGCACTAAGTAAGTCTGTGAATCATGTAATACCCAATGTGTGTAAGTTGAAACCAGGAAGACAAGGGAAATTTTCAGACTAACACAATTGAACCAATACCAATGGTCTAGAGAATTGCTATGCAATATATTTGTAAAGGACCAGTGAGCACAACTAGTGTCAATTGAATGATAATAAATCCAATCATTATATATGGTACTGTTAGAATTATTGTGAGAAAAAAAAATATGAATTGCACCAATTACCCACAAGGCACAAATCGTTGGGGTTTTCCTACTTAATCAACTACCAAACACGATTTGAGCTGGTGTATAAGGATGTTTTTGAAGGTCAGGGGGGTGAGGCTATATGGTCTGTGGCTTTCTGTGTTAGATTGAATCGATATGGTAGTATTAAAAAACAACCAGACTGTGTGCCTGATTTGGCTGATGAGCAGAAGGGTGATGAGCAGTGAGTCAGTCACACAATTGTTCATAGCGGGTGGGGGGCTACAGGATGGATCAGACCACAAGATCAGGTGAACAGTATTTTCATACCTGAGTGACTAGGCCGGAGGGCAGTACCCAGAGGAGGTGGCCGTGGGTGCTGATGGATCAGTCCTGTGGGCAGATCACAATTATGGTTAGCTGGGGGGCCACTGTCAGCCTGGGTGATGCCAAGAGCTTGACTCTTCTAGCTACACCAGGTGCAAAGCTAAGAAAAAATGAGTACAAGTGTGGGTAACACTTGAAATGGGAGGTGTTTGATATTAAGAAAAGAGATAATAAAAACTGTTAAGTTTTTATAAAGGGAGGGGCCTGAGTTACAGGGGTTTTTATGGTGCCCTCCGAGGAATCAGGACCTGTTAAAAAGGGGTATTTTTGATGTACCTGATGATCTGGTCCTTTGTGTAAAGGAGTATGCCCAGACAAAATGCCTACAACTGAAGTATCAAGGAAATATTACCTACTTAGTACTATTTCCAAGCCAAGGTGTCAGGCTAAGTGATGCCAAGAGCAGAACTCTTCTAGCTACACTAGCTGCAAGAGTAAAATGGGATGTGTACACGTGTGGGTAACACGTGAAAAGTGGGGGAAGTGTGTGTAAATAAAGAAATAGTAAATAAAACTGTTAAGTTTTATTACAGAGGGCCTGAGTTGCAGGGTTTTTACTGTGCCCTCTAATTCGGTTCTGAGTGCAGGGTGGTACTG